ACCAAAGGGACATTTTCAGAAGATGTACACTGATACAAATTCAGAAAAGGAATCACATAACATAGTATTTCAGCAGTTTCTTGAAAGGTAAATATGTCTATATTAAAATCTGTTGTTTTCCATTTGATTGTGACGTGTATGGTTTTTAGTGGCCTGGCATGGCTGTTGTTCTGTTGGTGTAAGTCAGTAAATGGAATGAGAAAAGGGGAGAAGTAGCTCAATTCTGGTCTTGAAAGGCAGTTGTGTTGTCACAAGGACTGATGAACTGACCTGACTGCTAGACAGGCCATGTTGGGGGGAAAATGTAGAGATTGCAGTCCCATTAGCCCAGCCCAGTATATACTATAGTTGTTAAGGGTCTAAAGTCCAGAGGAAACACCCACCTCCTCAGATGCTGTGTATCTGATCTAAAATTAGAAAAAGAGAAGCAGAGGAGAAAAAGTCTGTACATGGTAAACAGGGTAGATTGAGAGAAAAGTTGGAGAGAGAAATTAAGCATGAAGAGCAATTGTTGATTCCTGATCTGGAAGGGAGAAGCAAGGTCCTTGAGTGGCTTCTCTGGAAAAAGGGAAGTGAAGTCCCAGAGGAACAAAGCTCTGCCCAAATGGTAAGGATGAACCTGGAGGGCTGCAGGTAGCATATTTACATAAGACCCAAAATGGGAAGGAGATTGACAGACATTGGCAAAGCCATGGTCTTTGAGAAAGGACTGGGCAAAAGACCCTAAGAGAGGTCCTTCCCTAAGTGGAAAAGCACTAGATGTTTGGTGGAGCAGATCAAGAAGCAAGTCAATCTGTGGTAAGTGCACTACAGTATGACTCCAATCCATTCCTTTCTTTTCACTCTCTTTCTTCTTCATAAGCTCCCCAAAAGAGGAAGGAAGCAGGATTGTTAGAAGGAGATATTTCTAGGAGGAGATTTAGGAAGAAATATAACACCAGGATTGTGTTGTATATTCCTGTTGTAAATAGTTTTACCATAAATAGTAAAAAGCATAAAAACCTCCACTGTCTTGTTTCTGTCCGTTGTCATCCTTGCGAAGCAAAATATACCTCCACTTCAAAAAGAATCCTGTGACATTGTGCAATTGATATACACCATTGATACATTAGAACAATGAGGGACCATTACAATTGTTTAATTTCATTTACTGAATAGGTTATTAAGTTTTTAACTTTGTTGCTTGTCATTTATTCAATCTGATCAGCTTTCATTGCAAATTTAGAGAGCTGAAAGTTAGTCAAGGATCTTTGAAATATAAGCTTAGGTTGTCCCAAAGGTGCTTTTTCAAGAGGCAGCAGGACTTCCTTTGTTTTTCCTTAAAGACGTTTGATTCTCATGCAAGGAGTTTATTCACTTCTGAAAAAGCTTCTTGGATGAGAAGTGAAACGTGAACCATAACCTGGATGACTGAGAATCTACATGGACATAAACCTAGGTCACTTCTACACATAGCCATCGTTTTACTGTTCTCTCCAACTGACCAAAATAAAAATGCTAAAAAAAACCTCCGAAAACAAAACAAACATTCAGTCAATGACCCATATTCTTTTTTTTTAAATAAAGTTTTATTGAGTTTTAACAAAACAAATAAAACATCTTATTTGAGTACAGCATGGTTCCGGGTTATCACATTTCCATTCAGACACAATTTCATATGCATATTCATCTTATGTATTCAACTTCATATCTTATTACTCTTTTTCCAACTTCTCACTATTTCTCCCTTTACTTCTCTTAATTTTCTTTTATGGTTATCTCATTTTCTTTTTATTCAATTGTATTTCTTTTACCTAAATTTCTATATCTTTTTATTCATTGTACTTATACTTTGGTCTGTCTTGTTTACAATTTCATATGTTCTCTTCCAACATTCTTAAGAAGCAAAATTCCCCCTATGATTGCCAATCGAAGTGCAACACCTTTAAATCTTATTGTTATTATCATATGAAATCCCATTAAACATTTAATTTGTGCATTCTAAAATTATAATATTCAAATTTCTAATATCTATTTTATATCATGTAGATCTCATCATTCAGACTCTGCTTGGTACTTCCCCTTGAAAATGTAAAAAGAAAAATTATAAAAACAGCAAAAACAATATATACATATATATATAAACATTAGTAAACAAAATAGTTATTCAAGATCATTCTAGTAGTGGTATGAACCTTGTAAATCTTTCACATTTCTTTTCAATATCTATCAATCTTTGAGAACAATTGAAATGTTTCTTTCCCTTCTTCATTATTACTTAACTGTTAATAAGCATACCATTGGATAGTCATACAGTTTTATCTTATAAATTATTTACTATTAATAAGCAAAATAATTATTCAAATTCATTCTAATAACTGGTATAAATTTCCTTATAAATCTTTCACATTTCTTTTCAATATTTTATCAATCTTTAGAAACAATTGCAATGTTTCCCTCTCTTCTTTATTATTGCATTAATTATAAATAAACATACCATTACATAACAATACAGTTTTATCTCATAGATTATTTACTTATTTCATTTCTAACTCATTACAGTATTCTACTGTCACAACACTATCTTTTGTACCTTTGCAGAATCCTCACTTTTAACTTAATTTAACCATTGTCTCTGTGTTTTCTAGCTGAGCAAATACCTTTAATCCTAGTATGTTTCCCCTTTTTCTTTATTTCCTGTTTTTGTCCCTCATAAGTTCTTTCCCTTTCTATCTTTCCCCCATTTTTCTCATCCCTTTTTTATACCCTTCTCTCTCTAATTTTCCCTTCTATAGTTTTCTTTTCTGCTTCTCCTTGCTGTTATACTTCTTTTTCAGACTATTTTTCTTTTTGGCTGTTCCCTTTGATATCAAACTTTTAACTCCTTTCCCCCTTTTCCCCCCTTTTCCCCTTATTACCACACTTTGCATTATTTGATCATTGAAAATAGCTTCTTCTTTGTCCCGCCCTTCTTCTTGCTCTTGAAGCTTTTCCTTTTGCTTTTCATAGTTCAGGATCTCCATTTCAAAAAATTCAAATATGAAGCCAAAGGATCTTCCTCCCCTTTCTGCATCTTCTTTCTGTTTTTTAAGACTCATCTTCAATTCCTCCAGGAGTGATGGCATTTTAAACACTTTTGAACAACCACCCGATTGACTTTAAGTAAAAACAGAAAAAGAAAGAAAAAACCAATGCCCAAAGTTTTCTTTTAAATCACCAAATGATCCCAGACTGTTCCTTCTTGTTTCTTTCCTTTACTTTTCCTTTCTGTGGGTTATTGTATCTTTTAATAAGATTTCAGTTACAATATATCCTCGGGAGTCTTTTCAAAGTTTCACTGTTAATCGTCTTTATTTTTCCAGGTGGCACTCCATTTTTCCATTATTCCAAGTCCCACCCTTTTGCCTCCACTCTTCTCCTTTTTAGGCCTTTCAAATGACCAAGAAAAAATCTTTATTCTCCTTTTGACACTTAGATTTCAGCTTAAGGTTGCCTATTAGTGTCAAAATAGATTAATATAAATTTCTTTCCATACCATTTGTAATTGTCAATATAAAGGTTAAAAAAGGGTTTTTAACCTCCTTTTCACTCTCCTTCGACGCTTAAAGATCTTTCAGAAGTATCCCTCTAGGTACTTTTAGATTCAGAGTACCTTGCGTAGATGTTCTCTGTTGTTTTGCCTGGTCTGTCCTGCTTTCCTCTTTGTCTTCCTCCTGCACAATCTTATCCAGTCGGGTTCTTCTTTGAGGTGACCACCGCTGCAACCGCCTGCGGGGAAGGGAGTTTAGACCAGCCAAGGAGGAAAGATGTGGCTCCCCTTCACTCGGCTAGCAATCTCCCCCCTCTTCACCACCTCTACGGGGTGGCTTCAGCCCTGAATCCAAAGGATCGGGGCACTCCAGCGGCGAGCACAGATCGAAACCGCGCATGATTGCGGTTTTCGGTCTGTCACTGAAGAGACCCAAACCGGAAGTCCAATGACCCATATTCTTGTTCATATTTATATAGTTTATACTTAAATTTATTTATATACAGTGCAATATTTAATTGCACAGTCTGAGTTAGTTACATATCCTTACTTAGGAATTTTCTGAAATATCACAGCAATTGCAGTAAGTGTGACCAACAAAGCCATTATAAAGGCATTATACCTTTTTTTTTTTTTTTAAAGTGTAAAAACAGGGAAGATAAACCCTTAAAGGGAGAAAGGGGAGTCTGGCCTAAGTCCTGGGAAATGAGATAAGGTGAGGCAGAAGTTCCTACCAATAGGAACTGGCACTCTCACTCTGCTTGAGGGTGATTGTAATTTCCCATCATATTCAAATACAGCTCCAAAGAAATGAATCAGTTTAGCTGTAAACAAAGGTGATCATGTGGGATTACTCAAGTAATTTGGGCGTATCCTATGTGTATTCATAGTCCTCCTAAGCTTTTACGCCATCCATTAAGATATTATATAAATGCTACCTATTTTTACCTCTGCTTGCTAGAGGTGCCAACAATGGCAAGTTCTTATTAATTGACAAGCCACAGTAAGATGTCTGCACAAATACAGAATAGAAAAATAGACTTGTATTAAAATGCTGCTGTTAAATATGGCAATGTAGCTTTAAAAGCAAGAGTTACATAGCAAATATCAACATCTTCAGTGTTTTATTCAAAAATAAATGGTACTATTTGGTGGAAGAGCAAATGCTCTTTGAAACTGCGTTTCTCATTCTGCAAGCATTGTACAGTTGAGGGATTACTAGTCTTGAAATTGCTCCCTGTGGATGAGAGGTCTGTTCCCAGACCTGGAACTATTTTCGCTTTAACAGAATAAGGACTCCCTTGAAATATTTGGACTTATGGTTTTTAAGTTCGGAAAAGGGTGAGTTACACTTTGGATATAACAGTGATAGGTTAATTGATATTTCTAATGAGGAGTACAGTTTTATCCTGATGAAATATTCCATTGCTATTCCATCAAGTATTGAAGACTTGATGCAAATATTATATGCATGCTTTCCTTTGTTAAAAAGGTGTACCACAGCACTGAATTTGCCCTTTGCTGCAAGGAGGTTGTTCACTGAAAAAGGAGTGGAACTCTTTGTTTTGAAAGACTTGGAGAAGGGTCAGCTGGTAAGAAATATAAAAATGTATTTGCCAATACTTTCTCCAAAAAATATGTTTCCAATAAAATTAGTGTGTAGTAAGTAGTATTAAGTAGTATTTCCTGTCTTTCATTCAATCCATCCATTGGAATATTTAGGTTTACTTCCTTCTATTTGGTTCCCATCATTCAGACAAAATTACAGGCCAACAAGCCAGCAAAATCTAGTTATATTATGCCAGCAGATGGACATTACAATGGACTTTTTAAAATAATACCAAGTTTTCTACATTAAATCAACATCAGATCAGAAGCATTACAGAATAATCTGGCATAGATCTGCAATAAGGAATTAGGTGGTGCAAGGATGTGTGCTTCTTTAACTTTAAGCAATGTAATGGATCTCAGGTTGTGGTTTGGAACCTTTAATGAAGTACGACACACATTAAAATGGGATGCTTGTAAAGGTCTACCTACTATCTTGATATATTTTTTCTTGATATCCATTCCATGGTTGCCTCAGTAACTTCACAAATTTATTTTGGTCTTTATTATATTAAAATTTAGCTCAGGCATTGGTTTTCAGCTTTGTTCGGGTATTTTCCCACGTCATTATAGTTGTGCTTTTAAAGTTGTAGCAACGTTTCGGCAGAATCTCATCTGCTATCATCAGGCTTCTGTATTGTGTTCATCTGAAGCCTGATGATGGCAGATGAGATTCTTCCGAAATGTTGCTACAACTTTAAAAGCACAACTATAATGACGTGGGAAAATACCCGAACAAAGCTGAATACCATACATGTAAGTACCCGCGAAAACTTAAGAAAGTTTGCATTTGCTGAGGAGTTAGATATTTTTTTGCAAATTTCTTATTTGGGAAGGCAAGCTTATTTTTCATTTTCATTTGCATTATGGTCAGCTACCAATAGACTTTCCATGTGGATCTTCTGCAGAAGACTTAGAGAAAGCTGTAAAAGCACTGTGAAGCAGCATATAAGTCTAAGTGCTATTGCTATTGTAGACCATTTAGTTTTAAAATACTGTCAATACAGTAAGATAATTGTGGCACAGCTGGAATTTTATAAAGAACTTGGATTCATGTTAAATAATTTACAAATATAATTTTGAGAAAGGCACTTTTACATAGTTCTGCAATATTAATAATAACAACAACAATTACTATGTTATAGAAATTCTGTAAAATATATATTGAATTTGTGAGCAGATTTGAATTCGTGCATCAGAAAAGAAAATGCATGTTTTTATTTTTTAAAATGAAATAACATAAATGTGACCTACATTCAGTTCTCATTTTTTACAAACAGCTTTACATATCATGTGGAGAGCAATGGATTGATCCTCTGTGGACTACAGCTCAGCATAAGAAACGTCTCCAATGTAATAATTTAGCATCTGATGTAATGGCTATGCGTGCCTATTGTGCCATGAGGAACCCAAAAAGTGAGCAGATTGCTTTCTATGTGTTTTTTAAATGTTGTACATAATGACATAAAGCTAATATTAGGCATTTACATCTGACTGTCCCATGTTGGGTTTTATGTGAGTCATGCTTGGAATCAGGAAATTATGATGTCAAAGAATAATGCATTAAGCAAGCCCTCCAGAAAACATGAGGAATTCAAATGTTTCCTTCAATTTGTCCATGAAAATGTGGTATCCTATGACTTTTGTTCCAGACTTTTTCACTATCTTTCCTCAGGCAGGCTCTGTCTGGGAGATATGGTCTATGCTTCCAGATTCTGTTATGGAAAGCCTTACTTTTTAAACTACTTTTTCACTATTGATTCTTTTCCTATGGAAAGACTAAGTAAACAAGATGGCAAACTCACTGGTGTTTTCATGACCCATTTGACTAGGTGGAATTAGAATAAACCTTTTGAAAAATATGTCTGTTGTAGGCAAAATCTAACTTCCATGGAAATTTGATCAATGGTTCAGTTTACAGTACTCTGTTTAGGTATTTAATGATCCAGAAAATTGGTATGGGTGTTTATAGGCTAAATGTCTTAAAATGTTCTTTAATTTTTGCTGGAAATCTGACATTAGAAGATATTATTATATTAATTATAGATAAGAAAACTCATCTGCAACTTGTTTTAAAGCAAATACGTTTGATTTCATTCTCCAGATTTTGTTTTGCAAGTCAAGAATGACGTTGTTGTTGGTGCTAAACTTTCTGTTGCAAGAGCTATAGTGGAATTTGAAGAAAAAAAAGCTGTTGAAGAACCAGAGAAAGAAAAATGTGAAAAAAGCATTGAAAAAATAAAAGATGACACAGATAAATATCTGTAAGTGGTCCAAAGTAATAATTAGTACAATACTATGAATGGTTACTAATACACTTTTTCAGGCCATTGACATTTTATAATTCTTTTATAAAAAATTAGTTGTTGTATTTGTGATAAATACAAATACACTTTCCAATCAGTTCTACAGTGCATGATATATTATTCCATTATTTCCTCCTTATAATTTGAAAGCACTTAAATTATTTTTGCTTCTTCTCATGATAAATAAGATAAAGTCACACTAAAAAATATAGTCCTATTATTTTTAGTGGTTCAAGCATAAATGAGATTTCATGTACCTTTTTTACTATCCAGTAATTTTACTTTGTCCTTTATATCTTGCATGGCTCAAATAAAAAGGTAGCCAAAGTTGAAAAATGTATTTTTAATAATATGCAAAGAAATGAAAATCTAAAATATTCGTAGCAATTATACTGTACTTCAGTACAGACACTTCAGACAGTTTAAAGAACTGATTTCTAAGTTCTTCAAATTCCCTTCACATCTAGCTCAAGAACCTGTACTACAGATTAGTGTAGTACAAATAGTGGGTAACTCTACTAAATTGTGGTATATAATCAAGTTTTTCTTTCTTCCTATACACATCACCCCATAGCAATTATTCCCATATGGTGGGACTTCGGATTAACTTCCAACTCCAGTAAAGCACTGCAAAGATAGTTTGCAGCTTTTCTTCTGCAGGTACAGCTGAAACTCAAAAAATTAAAATATCGTGCAAAAGTTCATTTATTTCAATAATGCAACTTAAAAGGTGAAACTAATATATGATATAGACTCATTACATGCAAAGCAAGATAGTTCAAGCTGTGATTTGTCATAATTGAGATGATTATGGCTTACAGCTCATGAAAACCTCAAATCTACAATCTCAGAAAATTAGAATATTGTGAAAAGGGTCAATATTCTAGGCTCAAAGTGTCCAGTCTAATCAGCTAATTAAGCCATAATACCTGCAAAGGATTCCTGAGCCTTTAAATGGTCTCTCAGTCTGGTTCAGTAGGAATCACAATCATGAGAAAGACCGCTGACCTGACAGTTGTGCAGAAAACCATCATTGATACCCTCCATAAGGAGGGAAAGCCTCAAAAGGTAACTGCAAAAGAAGTTGGATGTTCCCAAAGTGCTGTATCAAAGCACATTAATAGAAAGTTATGTGGAAGGGAAAAGTGTGGAAGAAAAAGGTGCACAAGCAGCAGGGATGACCACAGCCTGGAGAGGATTGTCAGGAAAAGAATTCAAAAGTGTAGGGGACTTTCACAAGGAGTGGACTGAGGCTGGAGTCAGTGCATCAAGAGCCACCACACACAGACGGATCCTGGACATGGGCTTCAAATATCATATTCCTCTTGTCAAGCTGTTCCTGAACAACAAACAATGTCAGAAGTGTCTTACCTGGGCTAAGGAAAAACAGAACTTGTCTGTTGCTCAGTGGTCCTCTTTTCTGATGAGAGCAACTTTTGCATCTTATTTGGAAACCAAGGACCCAGAGTCTGAAGGAAGAATGGAGAGGCACACACTGCAAGATGCTTGAAGTCCAGTGTGAAGTTTCCACAGTCTGTGTTGATTTGGGGAGCCATGTCATCTGCTGGTGTTGGTCCACTGTGCTTCATTAAGTCCAGGGTCAACACAGCCATCTACCAGGAGATTTTGGAGCACTTCATGCTTCCTTCTGCAGACGAGCTTTATGGGGTTACTGACTTCATTTTCCAGCAGGACTTGGCACCTGCCCACACTGCCAAAAGCATCAAAACCTGGTTCAATGACCGTGGGATTACTGTGCTTGATTGGCCAGCAAACTCGCCTGACCTGAACCCTATAGAGAATCTATGGGGCATGGCCAAGAGAAAGATGAGAGACATGAGACCGAACAATGCAGAAGAGCTGAAGGCTGCTATTGAAGCATCCTGGTCTTCCATAACACCTCAGCAGTGCCACAGGCTGATAGCTTCCATGCCACGCTGCATTGAGGCAGTAATTGCTGCAAAAGGGGCCCACAACAAGTACTGAGTACATATGCATGCTTATACTTTTCAGAAGTCCGATATTGTTCTATGTATAATCCTTGTTTTATTGATTGCATGTAATATTCTAATTTTCTGAGATTGTGGATTTGGGGTTTTCATGAGCTGTAAGCCATAATCATCTCAATTATGCCAAATCATGGCTTGAACTATCTTGCTTTGCATGCAATGAATCTATCTCATATATTAGTTTCACCTTTTAAGTTGCATTCCTGAAATAAACGAACTTTTGCACAATATTCTAATTTTTCGAGATTCACCTGTATTTCTGGATGGGGTGGAAGGAAGTAGTTTTCCTTTGAGAGAAATTCCTACTTCTTCAGAGATCTCCAAAGGTGCCTGCTATTTCTGATTGTTCTAAAGAGCAGCTTCTTTGCTGCCTCTCACACAATAGTTGCTTTGTTTTTGTTTTGTTTCTATTTTAAGCAAATTAGCAGAAACCAGAAAAATAACTAATAAGTAGAAGAACAAAGTCTGTCACAGAAAACCAACGTAGCTCAGCACTTGCAAAAGTACTCTGAATCCTGCCTCACAAAGCTTCTAGAATTATTTCATCAGCAGGCTTATGGGTGGAACCAATCCTGTTGGACTTTTAAAAAGTTCTGAAAAAGTTCTTCAAGACACTTGAATAAACTTAGCAGTCATGGGATTAAGAAGATCTATCCTTCTATGGATTGTTGTCTGGTGGAAAAAGGGAATAAACGGGCAGATATTTTTTCAGCAAAGAATAATAAGTGATGTTCTTCAACAATCATGCTGGGATCAATGTTTGTAAGTTGTTTGTAACTTGATCTAGGGGACAGCAATGAGATGGCAAGTTTGTAGATGGTACCAAAGTATTCTGGATAGTGGAAACTAAAATTCATTGGGAAGAGGTAAAAAAAAGCATTTGTTTTAAACAGGGTGAGCCTAACCAAATTCAAATTTAAATAAGTATAAATTGATGCATTTTGGAGTAAAAGTGCAACAACAGTATGATCAGTTGGACTGTCTATACATAACCAGGAACAAGTTCTTTCAGTTTATAATGCTTCATTCCTGGACTAGCCCAAGATTACCCAGCTAGCTTGGTGCCTCAGCAGGACTAGAATTCATGGTCTCTTGATCTCTAGGCAGATGTGTGTGTGCATGTGCACATGTGCCTGCACCCATAATGCAATGCACGTGTGACCCCCCCACTCCCTGCACATGCGCACGCAACTCCCATGCACCACATGCCTCTACGCATGCATGCATGTCTCCTATGCATGACCTGCGTATGCGCGGCAGATACCCAACAATCAGCTGGCTGGCGCGAGGCACACGTGCATGCGCAGTGGACCTGATTCAGGGCAGTGTCTTGTGTACTGGCAGAGATGGCCCTGTGTCCCACTTCCGGCATGCGTGCCATAGGTTCGCCATCACAACCTTAACCACTACACCAAACTGACCCTCATAATAGTGAATATCTCTACTAAATATAATCAAGATATATGAAATCAAGGTTTTCTTTCTTCCTCTGATCAAACTGACTGGAAAAAGGAATTTGAATACACAGAATTAGAGTACACCTCATGTGTCCTCATGTGATGCAAAATTAACTTCTGGAATTTATAATGATGGCCACCAACTTGCATAGCTCTAAAATGGATGAGATAAATTAATTAAGAATATGTTTATTGATTATTATTAGCCTCAAAGTTCCTAGCATTGGTATACTTCAGAATACCAGAGAGACACTAGCAGAAGAGAGATGTAGGTCTATTTCCTGCCTGCTGAGACCCCAGAGGCATTTGGTTAGCGATTTAAGAAACAAAATTCTGGTTTAAGATGGGCATTAATAGGGCTATTATGTTCTTAATGAGATTTTAAATAGCCTCATCTCAGCACTGTTCAACGTTATAAATTATCTCCCACTTATATTTAGTACCCACATATATTTTTTTTAAAAAAGTAAGATTGCTCAAAGTCAAAAGCTACCAGTGGAAGTAGAATAATTCTAACTAAAATAAAAATAAATGGAATGGATTGAACTTTTGGATCTGTGTGCTGGAAGGAGTTCTGAAGTGAAGACCTATCATTTTTATGTGCTGAGAGAATATTTTCTTAGAATGCAAGCATATCTGCAGTGTTGACTATGTATTTCCATATTCAGAGATATATTCTGATCCAACAGTATATAATTGGTTTCACTTTCTTGGTAATTTTCTGTAAAACTGTTTTGTGACCCTTCTGCTAGGAACTAAAATGCCTCTTAACACATACCTTAGAAACATTTTGTTCTTTATTCAACAATGAAATTACCTTCTTTTTCAAAAGATATTTGTATTTTATAGATAACTGCATAAATTTTTCATAAATGCTCCATGTATTCATTTTTATTATGACTACATGAAAGAAATGCATTTCATATGGTGGAATTTTTGTTGCTCATCAATGATACAAAAACCTACAATCTGTTTGGCTAAAGTTCACAAAAGGAATGAAAACTAGGATGTATATAATTTGAAAAATGATCAATTAACCTATCAGCATCTCCTTGCCCATTTTCTGCTATTATTTGAGCACTGCCACAGTGGAAGAATGCTGAAGACAGAAAGTAGAATACCAATGAAAATGCCAGTTTATAGTCATATTGCATTAATTCTGTTGCACAATAGATGGCACTGTTGTTTTCTGTAATATTAAAAAAGTTCCCCAGTATTAGAAATAAGCCTTCTAGAAATAATATGCCATTTCTATCTCATAGAGAATAGTTGCTATCTTAGAGATATTAAGACCAGGTTAACACATGATACTGACCTCATAAAACTTAAAGATTGATTATTACACTGTGGAGGTTATAAGTGGGCATTTTTCTCCAAAGCTCTGGATTTATTTATTTATTTATTAATTTCTCCTCTGCTCATCTCACCTAATGGATGGTCCCTACTGCTTTAACATGCTCTGTTGGGGTGCTTTTAAAAACAACTTGGAAGCTGCAAATAGTGCAGAGTACAACTATCCATGTACACACTAAAACCTGGCCTTAGGAACACATTATAGTTATACTATAGGTCCTGCACTGGCTATCAATAAGATACTGGGCACAATTTTAAGTACTAATTTTAACCTAAAAAGCCTTCTATGGCTTGGCACCAGTTACCTTCAGGACTGTACTTTCCACCTAGAATAGGCCTACTTACATAATTTTTGGGGAGAAGCAGTTTGGGAGAGGAGGGGGTCAAGGCTTATGGGTGGTTCTTTGGAATGTCCTCCCAGTTGAAATGAGATTGGCTTCCTTCCTCACTGCCTTCTGAAATCAGCTTCTTATCCAGAACTATTGCCATTGTTTTCTTTGCCTTTTTTGCAATGGCAGCTATCATTCCAAGAGGGTTATTTTAGAACAGATTTTGGAGCACATAGGTAGGGGAAGGAAGAATGAATAAAGATCTCCTACATTTCAGTTATGGAACCAACTAGTTCATACAACTCCATATCCAATCAATGAAACGAACACAGTTTAAAAGACAAAAGAAGTAAGATGTGGCTTTTAGAAATATTATTCCCATAATGAAGCTCCAGTGTTTTTTCCAAGCCATTAGGTTTGGAAGATAGGACACATTCATTTAAATTGAAGAAAAGAAGAAAAGGTGTTCTTTTAAATATATAGATTGCAAATCTGTGAATAAAACCACTACAGCTAAGTTGAATACTGTACTGCCTTGCTGGTCAAAAATCCATATCCTAATATTTTGGGGAGGAAAAACACTTATATTGAAAGCATCAGTTGTAATTTGCAGATCGAATGATATCGAGACCACTCATCTCTAATTTATTTTTGTGGAGCAAAAAGAATTGACTACAGAAAGATATTTGGGGACAAATAAGAAAATGCTATTCCTGAATAATGGTACTTGAGATGGATTTATTACAATTAGACTAATTTGTTCTTGTTTTTAATACAGGAATCTGCCTCCAAAGATGAAGGAACATTTAAGTGCAGAAATAAATAAACTATATATTTCAATTTTTTAACATTATGGTTTTAAATGTTGTTTTTTAAATGTTGTTTTTAATTCTCTTATGGAGACCTTGGGGCTCTCCAAGCTTGGTTGCTTGCAGACCTTTCATTGCTCAACTAAGTGACATCGCTAGTGCTAATGAGAGTAGGATTTGCTGCTTAATTATCTTCATTAATTTTCAGAGCCACTTTGAGTATTTTTTTAAATTGACAATTAAAGATTTAAATCTTTTATATTTAATATATACTTAATATGTTTAATGTAATAAATATTTAAATATTAAGTGTTTTACATCAACAATAAAATATGTATTAATACACAATCAATACAATCAATACATTAATATATCTAGAGATATGTTTATAATATATCTCATGTATATATATATATCCATACATTTAACAATACATAACTCCCAAAAGAAATGTTCCATACTTATTTCTAGTTGGCATAGTTGATATATGCGCACAATTAAAGTTAGAAAAACCATTTTGTGCTACAAGAAGCATCCCACTTTCTGTCTATTCTCCTAGCAAATCCCAGGTTTTCTTTATTTGTGCTTGGATGTAGGTTGCAAAATATGCCTTTCCCCTACTTGTCTAAAGCCTGATTCTGTTCTTTCAAGCAGAAACCTTGATACATTTTAACTAAGAAATATTTCTTTTTGTGAGTCAATCAGAGATATACTTTTTTTGGGAGAGGGGCTTGTCATCTTCAACAGATATTACTCTGAAGAATAATTCAAATCACATAGATTTGCATATAGTTGTAAATCATCATTGTATTTATTTGCACTATTGTTACTGATTCAATTTAACTTCACCCTATTGTTTTCAGCACTCCTTTCCTCTCATCTGTCTTGTGTTATGGGAATAACCTTTAACCCTTCTATGAAGTAAAAATAGTACATGATGGTACATGAGTTACAAAGTTTTGTTATTTTAACATGCAACACCATTATTTTTAATTATAATTGGGTTTACTAAAGATAGAAGTGTCCTAGAACTTTTCTGGGGCTCCTTCCCTTCCCTTCCCTTCCCTTTCTTTCCTTTGTTCAATCCTACTTTTATTGTCTCTCTAAAATGTAGGAGTAAGCCCTAGTGCTAATCTAAATGTTCAAGACAAATAATGTAAATAAATTATTTGTGTATGGTAGATTGAAAGCACATAGTCTTACAATCTTGTTTGCTGAATTCCATCACTGATAGCCTTAGAAACTATACATAAATAAGTCTTGACTATTAAACTCTTCTTAGATCTATTATTCAAACCACATTGGCCATTGTCTCCCATAGAGTTTATTTGTCATTCATTTCAATGAATTTAAGGTATTTAATTAAATATTTCAATCCAAGTGTTTATGAAATTCAAATTCTCATTAATAGAATAAATAGTATAATGTTTTATGTTGTTATGCTCTTTTGGGAACTCGGTTTTAATCATTGGCTGAAATCTCTATGAAAAAAAATTCACTGGTAATAAGTAAGCCTTGGTGGGCCTCTATATCTTTCCAGAAATTCACATATAAAGTCACATTTTAAAACAGAAGCATTTCATAAGACTACAAAATATGCCTGGCAGCAAATTTCCTGTGATGAGGACTACAACATTCAGAAGGAAAAAGATGAGCAGTTTTTTGAAGATGCAGAGTTATTCAAAAAATACAGGTCAGTTATAGAGAATTAATTGTATTCCTTTTTAATGTTTTTATTATTACAACATTTTAAAATTACACATAATACAATTAAAAGGATACCATCTTTTAATAAGAGGGCATCAACTAAAAGAGTGTTTCTGATATGTCCTTGTATCAAACCTGCTCAGATTATATTAAAGTAAAACTGTGTCCTAGGTTGATAGTAATTTACTTAAAATTATAATGTCAAGTTGAAAGTTAAATGCTTATTATAAAGGTCTCAGCTCTACAGGTAGTTCTTGACTTACAACCATCATTTAGTCATCATTCAAACTTACAATGGTGCTGGAAAAACTGACTTATGACCAATTTTCACACTTGCGACCACTACAGCAACCCCATGGTCACATGATCAAAATTTGGACACTTGGCAACTGGCATTCATTTTGAGAGTTGTACTGCCCTGGGGTAATAAGATCACCATTTGTAACCTTCTCAACTGGCTTCTAACAAAGTAAAGTTAATGTGGGAAGCCAGATTCACTTAAGGACTATATCATTTACTTAACAACTATAATGATTCACTTAACAACTGCAACAAAAATGTCATAAAATGTGGCAAAACTCACTTAACTTTCTTGCTTAGCAACAGAAATTTTGGGCTCAATTGTGGTCATAAGTCAAAGAATACCTGTACTCTGATACAATTCTGTTTCAAAATTAAATCTTAATAAATAGTTAAGACATTCACTATGTAATTAGAAATAGCTGAATGTCAAGCACTTTATTCTAACACTACTCTGAGCAGATATTTACTAAACCCATAGATGACACTAAGTACCATATTTTTTCGGACTATAAGACACACTTTTTCAGACTATAAGACACACTCCCCTCCCCCCAAAAGTGGGTGGAAATGTCTGTGCATCTTATAGAGTGAATACGGCCCTGTTTTGGCCTTCCAACCCCCCTGTGCATCCTGTTTTTGCTCTCCCCAGCATCCAGAAGCACTCTGCAGCCCCAAAACAGGACCCATGGAGGCCCGAGGGCCTGTTTTTGGCCTGCAGAGTGCTTCTGGATGCCGGGGCAGGGGTGGGCTGCTACTGGTTCACCCAGATTCGAGCGAATTGGTTGTTAATTTTATGGCCGGTTCAGCGAACTGGCAAATCCCACCCCGGGTGGCCCTGCCCACCCTACCCCTCCACTGCCAGGAGTCACCACGTGGCCCATTTTGGATCCTAGGTAAGTGAAGGGCCTGCACGGAGGCTTAGGGGATGAAAAACGGGCCTTCTGGAGGCTCTGGAAGGCTGGAAATGGACCTGTTTCTGGCCTCCAGAGGGTCTCTGGAGCCCGGGGAGGCCATTTTCACCCTCTCAGAGGCTCAAGGAAAGCCTCCAGAGCTCGGGGAGGGCAAAAATGCCCCCTCCCCACTGTGGTGCAGGAAGCCAACTAGGCCATGCTCACCATGGCCATGCTGACCCAGCAACTGGGTAGAGAACCGGTTGCTAATTTTTTTAAGCCCATCCCTGCGCTGGGGAAGGCAAAAACGAGACGTGCGGAGGCAAAAAACCTATTTTTTCTTGTTTTCCTCTGCTAAACCTAGGTGTGTCTTATAGTCCAAAAAATACGGTAAGTCAAGTTGAATTATTAGAATGCTGAGATAGAGATTAGTCCTTATATTTCTGGCAAGTGTTAAATCCAGCAAAAGGGAAATGTCCATCTCTCACCCCACTCCCTGTTTATTAAATGCAATGAGCAAGTGAATCAGCTTTCTCTTATTTTGAAGGAGATAGGTAGATATCTCAACTTCAGATTCTAAACAATTTTAACACACATGCGCACACCAGGTTCAGATGCACTATGAAAAGATAGACTTTATAATATCTCAAAATGAAAAAAAAAATGCTCCTAAGATATAGTCCTGTAAAAAACTATAAGGAAAAGAAAATTGCATGAACATCCAATAATTATCTAAAGGAATAATTAACATGTAATGTGATATAATCTCTTTGGAGTTCCATTATTTCATGTTTCACAAGAGTTTGAGGAAGTCTTCTTTATTTCTTTGCCAGTTCATTGTCACATATATTAGAGTTTTATTTACTTTGTTCTTGGTATACTGTACTAGTGTAATTACTTTTTAAAAAAATCAAAGCAAGCTACAAAGATTTTGCGCCTGTATTCACATGTCTTTGTTAGTTGGCACATTTCATATACAGTAAATATGGTAGAACATAATATCAACCCCAGAAAAGTGGCACTTACTACTACTGCCAGCTGTACAGAAAATTGTTTTATAAGTTTCAATAAATGTATGCCTTTCTCAGGATCATAGAGTTAGAAAGAGCCATTTGGGTCATTCAGCTCGATGCAGAAATCCAAATTACAGTAAAGAGAGAGTCAGTCTGTCTCATTTTAGGCTTTTCATTCCACATCCTCATATAACCACCTATCCAGCTTTTTCCAACATCTGTGCCCAGTTCCTTTGAATTGTGATTTAGTTTTGATTTCACACATTTGTTGCTGTTAGCATGTAATGAAGTATGCAAAAGGCATTTATTTTTGTTGGTTTTAGGCATCAGCCAAAATTGGCTAAAGAATTCCAGAAAGCACACCATCAACTCTTTGAATTTAAAAATGGGAAGATCATCAACTGCAGTTGTCCAAATCTCGTATTGGGTGTGGAGAATACTGACCTTCATTCTGGTACTGAAGTGGTTTTGTTGGAAAAGAAGTATGATGATGTCAAGCAACATTGGGTATGGAAAGAGGAAAGCAGGTACATTTCTATGTATTAGAAATGAGATGGAACATTCAGCCTTACAGTATCCACAGAAGGACCTTCAGTCAAGTTTTCCATTTGACTTATTCTTGACTAATACTCCTGGTCTGTTTCATTTTCAGTTTAATCAGAAGTCTCTCAAAATGAAAGCTCAGATAAGAGGATTTTTTTTAAAAAAAAAGTCACAATTATAATCTATCTAAGTCTCACATTTTCATTTTAAATAATTACTTTTTGTCAAAATTTTGGCAAAAACTCCTATTTACACATGCTATAGTAATATATGGTTAGATATCTAGAATGGCCATATATTTTTTTCCCTTCTTTAATGTCTGTCCTTTTCCTGTTGTCCCCTTGCATCATTACTGATTAGGCGCAAAGCCTCTATTGTGCTGTTGTCATCCCTTCCCATGCAATAGAAACAATATAAACCTCCTGAGATGTATATAAAACATCCTGTGATAAAATAAAAGCATATGTCATGATTTTAAGACATTTCAGACTCAAGACTTTTTGTTTCTAGGTCCTTTCATCTTGCAATTGATCCAGATCTAGTGCTCACAGTATCAATGCCCACTGTACTGAATGGATGTCCAAAATTTCCACTGGAAATACAAGGGTATCCTATTATCCTTCAGGTTAGTATCATAACTACAGAGCATTGTCAAATATAGCAAATTATTATCTTAAATCCACAAATGGCAATTCTATATCAACTATCTGTAAAAATATTAATATTTCTATATTCTTATAATTCAGTAACTGGGTTAAGCAACTTTGTCTTCTCCAAATGTTTTGCACTACAGAGTTACTAAATATAAAAAACATATCTGTCCCCTAAGTTGTTTAATAAATAGCATGTTTAATTATTCTCATTACTCTGAGCTCAAATGAGAAATTAGTTTTAGCTTTCTTTTAATACGGCTGTGAAGTCATTGTATCCCTGCAGATTAGCTTCTATAACTTCTATTTACTTTTTTGTTCCCTTTTTGTCTGGACCTTCCTTGTCTGCTGCCACCTGGCTGACTCTTCATTCTTTTTACATCAGTGACAGCTCCTACAATAGAGGCTCCTTGTCCTGCTAATGGATCGGATAGACTATGGCAGAACATTACCCTTATATAATTTTAGATAGTTTTCTGTCATCCAATCACATACCAATTATGGTAATGGATGAGAAATATTCTAGGGCATATTTTGAAAACCTCTTTTTCTGAATTTATACACAGTTAAAAATTCAGAGTTTATCTATGTATTCTAAGTTTGATAGAACGGCCATCTGTAATATTTCAGTCCTTTCTCTTTTATTTTATTTTTGTACAGGGTTTCCCTCTGTTATAAAAAATCATATTGTTTCCTGGATCTAGTTTGAGCTATAAAATGCTTGATAGTCCAAGTGCTTAAAAAGTAGATAGCCACACTGAATACATTCAATGTGTTATCAGATGTCTATAGAACTCTAAAAATTTCAAAAGTCTAGATCCATCATGTAATATATTGAAGCAGTCTTTATAGTATTCACTAGATATAAATATATCATATTTATCTGTATCCCATTAAAGTGTGAGACAAAATTCATAAAAAATGACACCTACTACAGGGGTCCCCAATCCCCAAGCTACAGACCAGTTTGTGCAAGCCCCTTTATCCCACGTAACCTGTTGTGAATCAATAAAAGTTACTAGCATAAATGCAAATCAAGGTTTGGAAACCTGCACACCTGATTGGTCCTTATACAACAACTAAGGATTGGTCCATAACTAGTCCCTGATTGGCCACTATTTTGACACTTCTCATTGGTTATTAGTTTGAACTTGTTGCACATGTCATTGGTTAATAAGGTAGCAGCTAACCCTATAAAAGGGTTGCTGCTGCCCATAGCCTTGCTCTGTTCTGTTCTATTTACTATTATTAAAGAGTTGAAGTCACTGGTCAAATGTCTGGTCTCCATTATTCTCCAAACATAACACTGGCGACGAAGGTGGGATACGGAGACTGAAGAGCTGACTGAGTTACAGAGCAACCAACAGAGCACGTGGTCGAACACGCACCATCAACGGCAACATGGCCAGCGGTGCCACCCGCTCCATTCAACCCAGAAACCGAAGACTGGGAATCATACATGGATAGGTTCCAGATGTTTCTGGAGACCAACAATTTGAAAGATGCAACAACCGGCAAAAAAAGAGCTATCTTTCTAACTCACTGCGGGCCTACCGTGTTTAAAATGGCAAAATCGCTTGCCAAGCCAGCCGAAGTAAAAGCGATGGACTGGGACGTCCTCGAGCCTTTGCTACGGGCTCACTACGCGCCCACCGTGCCAACCTTAGTCAGAAGACACGAATATTACCAGAGGGACCAACGGAAGGGCGAAAGCCTTGCCAATTACATCGCGGACCTCCGCAACCTTGGAGGCCTCTGCGGATTCTCCGACTTAGAAGAAGCCCTCCGGGACCGCCTGGTTCTGGGCCTAGAAGACGGCACGATCCAGAGCAAAATTATGGCTAAGGGGGACATCAGCCTCACCGATGCCCTTAAAGAAGGCAGCGGAGGCGACCAAGAAGTCGGCAGCCCGAATGCGCCGCACCAACGCACCGCTACGTCAACTCGCCAAAGATACCTCGCCTCGCTCAGAGAGACACCCGGTATCGACTCACCACGAAGACCTAGAATCCCCATCAGAAAGCGATGAGGAAGAGGTCAACCGACTCTGAACGGAACGAGACCAGTTCACACAACCCTCATCCCGACCGTGTGCAGGATGTGGGGCAAATCACCCACGATCCAGCTGCAAATTCCTCGACGCACTCTGTCGCATTTGCGGGAAACGAGGTCACATCGCAAAGGTTTGCAGAAGCAAACAAAACTCCAAACCCCGACAGGCCGAATGCCAGTCCTCCGGATTCTTCGGCACACACCGAGAAAAACTGAACCACCAATGGGGAAACCACTCCTACAGAAACAAACCGTCCACCACTTCCACCAGGCGTGAAGAAACCAGGCGGGAAGAGACCCACCAAACAATCACCATAGGCCACGCTACATCCCTTGATGCCGGAAAAATCCGAGTAAAGGTCGCCATCGAAAACAAACCTTGTGTGATGGAGGTGGACTCGGGATCTTCCCTCTCGATGGTGTCGTGGAAAACGCTCCAACAGCTCATTCCAACGATTCGCCGCCAAGACCTTAACCCTCAAAGGGTTATACTCAAAGACTATCAGGGTAACCGAATTCCCGTCGTTGGGTCCCGCAGATTCCAGGTCTCTTTCAAGGACCGCACCGTCGCACTACCACTGACTGTCGTGGACCGCGACAGGCCTAGTCTTTTAGGCCTTCAATGGTTCAGGCCACTCGGAATCACTGTAGCCGGAGTCCACCGGGCCGAGAGCAGCGATTGGGAGGAAGCACTCGTGCAAGAATTCCAAGACGTTTTCGCGAACGGACTAGGCAAGTACAAGGGGACCCCGATCTCGTTTAACTTGAACCCTGAGGTAGCACCCATCCGCCTTAAGCCGCATCGGGTGCCGTTCGCCTTGAAGCCTAAAATCGACGAACAACTCGATAAGCTAATAGCGCAGGGCATGCTGGAGCCCACCGACCACGCCCGTTGGGAAACCCCTATAGTGACGCCTATCAAGCCTGATGGGTCACTAAGAATTTGCGGAGACTACCGGGCCACCTTAAACCACGCACTGCAGCAAAGTGCTTATCCAGTGCCGGTAGTGCAACACTTGCTCCATTCCCTGGGTGGCGGGAAAGCTTTCGCTGAACTAGATCTAGCCCAGGCGTATCAACAATTGCCTGTAGATCCGACCACGGCAGAGGCGCAAACAATCGTAATGCATAGGGGCGCATTTAAATGCAACCGGCTCCAGTTCGGGGTAAGCGTTGCCCCCGGAATCTTTCAGAGCTTAATGGAAAGGTTGTTACAAGGGATAAGAGGGGTCATACCATATTTCGACGATGTACTCATCGCCGCCCCTAACAAAGACATTCTAGAAAAACGACTCAGAGAGGTTTTACGAAGATTCCAAAACGCAAGCCTCAGGGTTAAAAAAGATAAATGTCAGTTATGTACCGAAAAAGTAGAATTTTTGGGATACCTCCTGGACAGCCAAGGAATCCATCCCACCGAAGACAAATTAAGGGCGATTAAAAAGGCCCCCACTCCAAGGAACAAGGCAGACCTACAGGTGTTCCTTGGACTTATCAATTTCTATAATGTCTTTTTACCCCACAAAGCAACGGTAGCTGAACCATTGCATAGACTATTAGACAAAAAAGCAACGTGGGTTTGGGGACAACGGGAACAATATGCTTTCCAACAAGTAAAGAAATTGCTAACTTCTGATTCCGTACTTATGCAGTACAACGAGACTCTTCCGCTCACTATCATGTGTGACGCATCACCTTTTGGGGTTGGGGCAATTCTGGCCCACGTATTACCAAATGGAGCGGAAGCACCCATCGCGTTTTTTTCGCGAACCTTAGCTAAAGCTGAAAGAAATTATAGTCAGCTGGACAAAGAAGCTTTAGCTATTGTGGCTGCAGTTAAAAGATTTCATGAATATGTTTATGGCCGTGCATTTACGATAATTACTGATCATAAACCACTACTGGGGATCATTGCGGGTAATAAACCAACCCCGTATATATTGTCCCCCAGAATGACCCGTTGGTCTGAATTCTTGGCGGCCTACAACTACACCTTGCAACATAGCCCGGGGAAATCAATTCTCCACGCTGATGCATTGAGCAGAACGCCGCTCCCAGACTCTGTTGTAGATCCAGCCCCAACCATCTCAACACTACAGATCGAAGCTCTACATGTACCACCATTGACGGCTAAAGACATTGCCTTTGAAACAAAACGTGACCCAGTTCTGCAACACATACTACGCTGGGTTGAACGGGGGTGGCCGACGGACCAAATAGCACCGGAATGGGCACCTTTCAAAGCCCGCCAAACCGAACTATTTTCCCAAAAAGGCTGTATCTTGTGGGGCGATCGAGTAGTAATCCCTGGCAAATTGCAACAAACTGTTTTGGCAGTATTGCATGAAGGACATCCGGGTATTGTGCGGATGAAAGCACTCGCACGCAGCTACGCTTGGTGGCCGGGAATCGACAAAAGAATCGAGGCCTGGGTCGCTACTTGTCAACGTTGCCAGGACGTCAGCAACGCCCCGCCTAAAGCAAGCCCAACCGAATGGGAAACTCCGAGGGGACCTTGGTCCCGTATTCATATTGACTTTGCGGGACCTACCAAAGGACACATTTTCCTTATTACTGTCGACGCCTATTCAAATTGGCTCGAGATCCATCGAATGAACACAACTACAACGGACTCAGTTATCAATAAATTAAACAGACTATTTGCCACACACGGGTTTCCGGACGTGTTGGTCTCGGACAACGGCCCACAGTTTACTGCATTACCCTTTGAACAATATCTTGCTGATCGGGGCATCCGCCATGCGCTAACCTCGCCCGCGCACCCTGCGGCGAATGGACGTGCAGAACGCATGGTACAATTTGTAAAAAAGACCCTTCACAAAATGGAATTTGGCAACATCGACGAGAAAATCAATCGAATTCTCTTGTTGCAGCACATCACGCCCCACAGCGTGACCAACAAAACGCCCGCTGAACTTCTTATGGGGCGGAAACTACGATCGCACCTTGACCGGCTCCACCCCGCATTCGCACCGGAAAAGCCCTTCGGCTCCAGCAGCAAATGCCGGGAATTTAAGGTAGGCGATTTAATCTTTGCCAAAAACTTTTCCGGCGACCCGTTATGGATACCCGCAACCGTTACCCACCTTACCGGGCCTAGATCTTACCGCCTGCTAACAGACGATGGGAGGGTATGGAAACGCCACATAGACCAACTCCGATCGAGATTACCAACCAGCGCCCATGACTCCCCGGGTTCACCATCTCAAGGGGGAGGAAATATCGAGGAAATTGACTTTGATATGACAAGTAGCAGGCCAACGGAAACCCTACGGCCCAGCGAAACACCGGAACTTGAAGCGGGGAGGGAGTTGACTTTTTCAGGGAACTTTAATATGGGGGAAACCGAACTGCAAAACCCCGAAGAAACACGGAGTAGCGGAGACAACCACAGTGAAAGCAGCACGGAATCACCGTGCAGCGAAACAGAATTTAATAAAGATCATCCAAACGCTCCACCGGAACCGGACCTTAGACCAAAACCGGTGGAGCCACGGAAATCATCCAGACAGACCAAACGGCCTGTCTATCTTGAGGATTTTATTACAGCTCCTCTCAAACGGAACCCAAGGGGGAGGGGTGTTGTGAATCAATAAAAGTTACTAGCATAAATGCAAATCAAGGTTTGGAAACCTGCACACCTGATTGGTCCTTATACAACAACTAGGGATTGGTCCATAACTAGTCCCTGATTGGCCACTATTTTGACACTTCTCATTGGTTATTAGTTTGAACTTGTTGCACATGTCATTGGTTAATAAGGTAGCAGCTAACCCTATAAAAGGGTTGCTGCTGCCCATAGCCTTGCTCTGTTCTGTTCTATTTACTATTATTAAAGAGTTGAAGTCACTGGTCAAATGTCTGGTCTCCATTATTCTCCAAACATAACATAACCGAGCCCCCCTCCATGAAACCAGTCCCTGGTGCCCAAAAGCTTTGGGATCACTGATCTATAACTGGTTTCATATCCTAGTCCTGTAATTCAGTACTGACAGAGGATAAAATATAGAGGGGAAGAAAGAGACACCTAGCAGAGGTGTGTCTGGGAATCACTTTTTTCTCTGCTTATCATTTCTGTATTATGATATTTTAGGATTTAGGCATAATGGATCCAGAGATGATGGAACAGTATTCAGCAAGTTCTGTTTTCCCCTTTTCCTAGACACATACCACAAATTTTGTTCTGAAAGTTTGGGGAACTCTTCATATATTTTTTTTAAAAAATAGCATCTGGTTGTGATTGCTTTCTTGATGGGCTTGTTTTATGCATCATCTTCTGAAGATGATGATTTGGAGAAGTGGGAAGAAGTGACATGACAGATGTTTTTCTTATATTTTGAGTTATTCTGTGCCTGGTTCCTTAGAGCTGAAGGTTAAATAAGTTGGGTTAACTGGAATTCAAATGGATGGTGGAGAGTACAGAACAGAAGTTTTTACAATGATTAATAATGGCTTCATTGTGAGCATTCCATTTGTTTTCACCTTGAGATACAATTTAATGAATAAATGTAGTATACTGGAAAGAGAAATGTAAGAGTAATTTCATATCACAAATAGATTACTGCATAATGGTCATGTAACACAATATAAGTAAATTGTTGCTAAAGGAGCATCTTAGTTTTTTAATACATTGCAGGGGCTTAATTAAAAATAGTGTTAGTGATCTGTTTGTTTTGTAAAATTGGTTTTCTGGGCTTTGTTTTAGAGAAATCCTATTTTGGACCAGGGATGAGTAATATATTCCTCTGTGCTAGCTGCTACCAACATCAAAAAGCAAAATGACTGCAGTCATGTAGGCAATATCATTGTATTAAATGAGTTTATTGGGTATTTCACTGTGTAAGCCTTACTTTCTGATAGTTCTAGAAGAGCAATGAAAAAGCAATGGAAATGTTGATTTTTTTAAAAAAAAATTAAGAATGTTAATTACAGCAGTAAAAAGTAATGGAAACTTTAGAGGGGAAAAAAGAAAATTAAAAAATAGAAAATACATGGAAAAAAAGAAAGAAGAAAAGGAATATAATAAAGAAAATAAAAGAAGTATGTTAATTTCTTCATAATTCATCTTTTATTTATAAGCAAATCTGTAAAACATCAATTTTCAATCCTGGTGTTAGCAAAAAGACTATAAAGGGATGCTGGAACATTACAAAAAATTAAAAATTAAAAAAAAAATCCTATTTTACCCTTGATCAGATAAACCAACTTCATATACCTTCTTTTTACTTTTAACAGTTTTAATCTTTAATTCAATCAAATACTGTCATAGGATTCCATTTCTCTTCAGTCCTTCTTTAACTCAGATTTCTTGAAGGTTTTAGCAAGCTTCTTTTGTAGATCTAATAAGAAAACATTTTCTAGGTAATTCTTTTAGTTTATCATTTGTATTTCCCTTTTAATTTTTGAAACTTCAGACAGTTTCTTTTGTATATCCGGTAAGCATCCTTTTATGACATTTTCTATTTTGTAAGTATCAGTATTAGCATGGTTTCTTTTAGTTTTACTTAAAATCCTTAGTCCCTTCTAGTGTCCCATTTATAAAATCATCACTTATATTTTGTTATGACTTGCAATAACCTGAACAGCAAACAATAAGAAGTTTTTCATTTTTATAATTAAGTCCACAATTTTATTATAGTAAAAGTCAATATTCCAAATTTATCTGAATCCTTAACCCATTTTGTTTCTTTAGAACAAAATCCCATTTACCTTTTTGCTATTTATTTCAATTTTTTAAAGTTCTTAAACGTGTAATTAATTTCTACAAGTTTTATATGCCAATATTGTTAAATACCAGAAGTATACCAAAAAAGATAAAAGAGACATGTGCAATATTGTCTGATTATCTAGGTTATCTTAATTTTTAAATTATAATTAAATGAAGAGTCAACTATCAGCTGAAAATTATTGAAAATGAAGGCAGCACCAATATTTTATGTTTTGACAGAAATACAGACCACATAATTATGGAGCTGCCAACCAAAAATGGAACTTCACCGAAACAAAAGTTTTTAGTGCCTTTTATAGCACAATATTGGATATGGAAATCACAGCAGCAAACTATGCTTCTATTTGCACCTTTACCATAACCAAGACAGAAAAAATTGACCAACCAGTAAGTATTACTTGTTCTCTGGAGGGAAAAGAAAAATGTAACTCCACTACGATGGATAGTAAAGACATAACTTATGAAGTATTTTAATATTCTTTTAGAAGTACCATGATTCATGCCTATTTGTTTATAATGATGAAACATTATTTATAGTCCATTCTAGTTCTACATTAAAATGCTTTTCTTCAAAATATTTTAAAGTATAAAAATGTTTAAACAGAAATTCAAATGTAAATGACCCTTGAAAGCATTTTCAAACAAAGTAGTCATTTCTAAAAATTCTTTTAAAATTCACTTTTGTAATTATCTTTAATCTTCTAATATACCTTTTAAGATGCATTATATTTTTAACCAAAAAGACAACACAAAATTCAAAGAAGTGGCTTGTTATGTTTTCCAATTAAGCTATCGTGAAAATCCAAAAGTTACAGCATGCTTTGTTTCAAAACTATGTAGTTTAAAAATAAATGTTCTAGTTTCAGCTCAGATTATAGAATTTTACTGATACATATACACACAATTAAAAAAAGAGAAATTGTGAAAACTAAATTTGAAATAGTTGACATTTAAATAACCATGCAAAAAATAGAAAAAATGTTCTGCAGTATTTAATTTAAAGTATTTTGACCATTTTTTTAAAAATAGGGCTACTATTTTCTTTCACCTTGTGGAAAGAAAAAAATAATGATATGTTTGGCTTGTGGAAGGACCATCAGAGGAAAGAAAGAACTGAAAAAATTGCTCCCTGGTACTATATTTTCCTGTGCTTCTGGATTCCAGGACAGAAATAATTTACCCTTTTGTCCTTTTAAATGCCTTGATGTTAATAAGGTGAGTTAAGCCATTCACAGTTATACATTGGACATAACCAAATAACTGTCCATATTATAACTTTATCTTTTAGATGGTTTTCAAATAGTGGAGTATTCATATTTAAACAACATTATATAAAAAAATAAAATTGAATACCATTTCTTTCTGACTTTATTAGTGACTATTTGCTTTGGGCTAGCTTTGAGCCCAGACCATTGTCACGTATTTTGACTTTATTTTTAAAGGAAATATAATGCTATTTATGCTGATGTTAAGCAGTATTTTAAAGATTGTAGTGCTTAACTCTGATTTTGAAAATGCTGAAATAAGTTGAAATCATGCTTGGATTAATTCTGACCTTAACCATGGCTTTCCACCTATGAATTGAGAACAATTTCAACTGCCTCACAATTATTATCAATTAATCTTCTGAACAGGGTGTGACTAATTATCTTTTAGCTTGTACTTACATATATATATCTGTTAAATGACTGTCGTTTATTGTAGCATGATTCAGAAGGGAACTGAGTTAAGCAAAAAAATAACCTCTCCCACTGCAGCTTACCATTCCATTACATTTTTTAAAAAGACTTATAAGTTAAAAGTATAACCTCTTGGGAAGCAGAAAATCCTGATTGCCACTACAGTAGATACTAATATACTAGCTACAAACATAGTCCATTCAGCAGCTATAAGAAATAATCGAACTGGGATATAATTATATACCTTGAGAAATTGCCATGGGTATATTCACTAGGTACATGGTAGAAAAGTCAGCAGTTTTTTCCTAGCTGTACATTTTATTTGGGAAAGAAGGATTTGAAATCTGAGTACTATAATGTAGAAGCAATTTTCTTTTGAAAGAAAATGTGTAAAAGAGTGGGTGGGTAATCTTAAACATCAGGGGAGATTAGTAATTAACATTAGTTCAGGAGTTTCTATTGAATTAAAAAACCAGTCCATTCACTTCCTGTTTTACTTAATGGCATTCGGGAAAATATCAGCTAAAATGTATTTTCTACTACTTTCTTGGATGCGTATAGTATGTCTTAATTTATATTTTTGGAAGTAATCTATCATGTAGTTACATATCAAGGGTGGTTAATCTAACCATATTAAATATATAACTTCTGGCAATGTTTTTATAAAAATTCACTTCTGAATCCTCTGTAATTGGTATGTGTGTATTGGGATAGCTGCCTGTTCATTTTGTCTATCTTGTATTTTCTCTAGTTTGTCATAAAAGTATAATATTTGAAATTCAAATTTTATTCAGTTTGGTTACCTTTTAAAAAGTAACTTCACTAAAATTATAATAAAACTGAAGTAATGCTAACATTTTGTTTTGTTTTATTGTGGAGATTGATTTATTCTCTGATAAAGCTGAATCCACCCTGCATTATTTTGAAGATGTTCTAGCATCCTTAAAAAATGAAACCTCCTTACAAGTCATCTCAGAAAAGATATCTGCAGCTCTAGACCAAAAAACAGTAAAAATAATTGCATACAAAAATGGAGATGGATACCGAAATGGGCAACTAATTGTTGCTCACACATTCCCGAGGGTAAGTAACAATAATCCAAAGAGAATCTTGTAATTGAATTGATAAGGACAAACAGTATGCCTAAGACAGTAAGGTAAAAACAATATATTACCTCATTATACATGCTGGGGGAGGGGAATTTTAATATTGTAAATCTACAAGTGTCTGCCCTGAAGATGTCAGGTCAAATCCAAGGTGTGTAAGAACTACTATGGATCTAGTGTAAGCAAACAGCATTGGGAGGAGGAAGAACCGTCTCATTGCAGGCATCACATTAAAAGTAATATTTCTACAATTTACTAAGAAATTCATTATTACTGAATTATAATCTCAAATTTGTACATTTACCCTCTCATTTCCAAATGTTTCCCTGAATAGCAGTAGGAGGCTTGTTTCTCTTAATAAAAAAAAAAGGTGCTGAAGGCTTATGACATTACTAGAATGTATAAATTGAATTATAAATATGGAGAGTGACCACCTAGTGAACTTGCAAGCATTTGCGGACAATACATGTCTTGAAAATCAGAGATTTATATGTTAAGTGGGAAATCCAGTGAACATTTAGGAAAGGAAAATTATATTAGGGATTATTTAGTCATGCAAGCGAAGTTGATATATGGCAATAGCATTTAGACTTATATAATGCATCACAATGTTTTACAGCCCTTTCTAAGCAGTTTACAGAGTCAGCACATTGCCCCCAACATTTTGAGTCCTCATTTTACTGACCTTGGAAGAATGGAAGGCTGAGTCAACCTTGGTCTATAGAATCTTAAAGAAAGAGCGGAAGAGCAGTGGGATCCTCCCTGTTCCACTACCGGTTTGGTGATCAAGCGCGCATGCACGCGCACCTAATGTGTGCACACGCAGCTTTCCCCACACCAGCTGAGGCCTGCAATGTCAATCAGCAGAGGATAAAGAAAAGAAAAGAAAAGTGCAGGGGTGGGTGGGAGGGCCAATCCTGCACTTTTCTCTTCTTTCTCCTCTCAGCTAATTGGATTTTTTCCCTCTTCTCAGCTGATCATCGGAGGCTTTTTTACTACTGGTTTGGCTGAACTGATCCAATCTGAACTGGTACCATACCACCATTGGAGAGGAATACAAATGTAATATAGCAAACTTGTTAGAAAAATAACAAAATAAGAATTACAATATGATAATTTATGTTTATATGTTGTTAATTATGCATTTGAAACATATACATATACATACATATATTTTCCTTTATGTAGTTGCTTTCATTATGTACAAGACGTCTTGAACTTAGCAGGACAGCTTGCAAGCTGTATAACAGTGAAGGGACCCTGATCCTCACACTGCAGGATTTAGTCTTGTGTGCAGTAAACGATTACCTCAAAAAGCAAGAAACTGAAGAAAGAGATGAAGAAGCCATTTCTGATAATGGCCTTAAACAAATTGCATCTGTGTTTTCAAGGGAAGGTAAAATGTGACTTTCCATATCTTGCCTATTAAAAGTATATGCACTTGATATGTAGATTAACCAGCAAAATGAATCTTTTTTGGAGAAAAGATACATGGAACCGTTTTCTGACATACTATCCAAAAGTCTCTGATTTTGTTTTATTTATTTATTTTTTTAAAAAACTTATTGTTGGTTTGTTTTGGTTTAGTTTTAGTTGTTTATGAGTTTTCACAGTGTATCTTTAGTCTTTTATTTTTAGATGTATTGTGCACAGTTTTGTGAGCATTAAAACAAAAAGGATAGTGTATGCAAATAAATGGACCAAAAAGTTTGTCTAGATTTCAGCTTATATATAAGCAGACTTTGACTTGATTCTTTGAAGTCTATTTCCATTAGATGTGTGGGTTCTTTACTTGCTCAGAGTCCTGTTCAAGAATTCTCTAGAGCAGAATGATATTGGTGGGTGCAATTTTTTTTGCTGTTTTAGTTACTTTGATTTTATTTTGTTGGTTTAGGCAAATAACTCATTTAATTCCATATTCTGTATACATTGGTAGTGAAATATGCATTCACAAAGCTTATAAAGGCAGACAGGAGGACAGGAATCATCTTGTACTGTTGCTTCTCAGAAGCTCATATTTAAAATATACAGTCCATAATTTCAGCCTAGTAATTACTCACCAACACAAGTTTATATCTTGCTCTTCCATGTCTTTTTCCCTTCCCCTTTTAAAACAACTGAATTGGTAGCACAGGTGGGATTCCGCCGGTTCTCACCAGTTCTCCTGAACAGTTAGTTAATTGCTTATGCAGTTCAGGGAACCAGTTAAAAATAAAGTGCAAGAGAAGTTTTTTTTTCTCTCTCTCTCCCTTCAGTTAATAGCTCTGGGTAGACCAAGCCAAGAACCATTTAACAGTTGAAACTGGAATACAGCCTATACACGCTGAATCAAGTCAATAAACAACAGAAACTGACAGGATTAGGGCAGGGAAACCCATCAATCACCCATCTAGGGATGGGATTAACCTCTTCCCTTCAGGAAGAAGGAAAAGATAACAAACATTTTCATTATAAAGAGTAATAAGTAATTTCTGTGATTAGCTGATACTCCTGGAGTTCCCCAAGACCTTTTATAGCTGCTGCAGTGTTGGCTACTTCTTGTTTCTTTTTTTTTGGGGGGGGGGGGAGATACAGGAGGGGACAATGATGCAACTTGATCATACAGGCTATGAATTTAATGCATGTGTGGTCTAGCCAACTGTATTGGTTCTGCTGTGAAGCACCCAATTTAAAACATAGAGAACATAGAGAACATAATAGAGTTGGAAGTGTTAATGGCTTTTGGCAGCACGCCCAGGCTTTCAATTAGCATGAGCAGCTGCTCTTAGTTTCTCTCTCAGCTGTTGCTTTTGCTTTGGGGTTGACTTTTTTTAAAAAGGGGGAATGGCTGTTTCCTGCATTGTTTTAGTGGTTCCTGGCATTGTCCTTTTGGGGTGTACCTCCCTCACTCTTTTTGAAAGCCTCTAGTGATGGAGCACCCACAACTTCTGAAGACAAGCTATTCCATTGGTTGATTGGTCTCACCCTTAGGAAATTTCTCCTTAGTCCAAGGTTGCTTCTCTCTTTGGTTAGTTTCCATCCATTGTGTCTTGTTGTGCCTTTTGGTGCTTCGGAAAATAGATTGACTCCCTCATTTTTGTAGGAGCCCCTCAAATTTCCTGACAGAACAATTAATCAGTGGAACAACTTGCCTCCAGAAGTTGTAAATGCTCCAACGCTGGAGATTTTAAAGAAGAGATTGGATAACCATTTGTCTGAAGTGGAGTAGGGTTTCCTGCCTAAGCAGGGGGTTGGAGTAGAAGACTTCCAAGGTCCTTTCCAACTCTGATATTGTATTCTATTCTAAATATTGGAACAGTGCTATTTTATTGTAAGTTGGATTAAGGGTGACACAATCAAGTTGACCATGCCCACCCAGCCACACCCACCCAGTCATTAGGGCAGAGAACCGGTTGTTAAATTATTTGAATCCCACCACTGATTTTGGTAGCCTTTGTCACATCTGATGGTAGCAAATTCCACATTAGCTATCTGCTATGCAAAAGTATTCCTCCTTTTAATTGATTTGAATCATCTAGTTTTTAATGTATGATTTTATATGTCTATTAGGACTTTCCTCACCTACTTTTATGCTAAATGGAAAAAAGTCAAAGATGTTGTAGTCTTTATTCACAGAAAATATTATAGGCCTCTAACTATTTTGAGTCATCTTTTCTGTACCTTCTCTACTTCTTTACAGTAACATCATTTTTGAAATGTGGTATCCAGAACTATATGTGATACATCAGAGCATTACTCAACTGGTAGTTTTATTTTAAATTCCATTCCTTGGACTTTGCCCTTTTGTAATAGGTCAAAACTGAACTGTCCATAAAAATGCCAAGATTCAGGTTTCATGAAAGCTTTGCTTATGTGAAGTTCTGCTTGCTGTTTTGTACCAATGCACATCCTGTTGCACTTTCTTTATTGAAATATATTTGTCATTTGCAGTTCATTTTGGAAGCCTTTGCAATCCATTTTAAAAAGTGTATGTATGTATCTCAGTACATTTGATGACATTAACAAATTAGAACACCTTACCCCTAAATTGAGATTGTTTATTACTCAATTAAAAGTATCACTTTTTTTTACTTAAATTAACCTGTGGCATACTTTGCTTTAATAGCTCTTCTGTTTACAAATTATTGAATTATTCATCTTTTTTTCTTTCTTAATCATTAGCCAATTACCAGTCCACAACATGACAGGTGCTTGTCCTCTAAGTTGATTTTTAAAAATGGTGAGGTCGTTTGTGAAAGAAGTAGAGTTTTTAGATTTTAAAAAAAGGTAGAAGATCACTGAAAAAAATGTATTGTTGCAGAAATCTTACTAGTTTTTTTTCCAGAAAGGTATTTGTATGTTTTATCATATTCTTTAATAAAATACTGTACCATTTAACTCAGAAAGGACATTAAACTAATGGGACATAAATTCCTATATATTCTAGAACTTGAAGCAACTCTAGTTACTTGATCATTTTCAGATATTCTCAGGAACAGATGCTGATTTTAAAATTAAGTTGCATATTTTTCTTGGAAGATCAGCAGCCTCACATTCATAATCATCAGATGTATACCATCTGGGCCCAGATACTGTATTTGTTTATTTTTAATTCATCCGTTTCATACTCTTGCTCCTTCTGTCTGTTTATTGAACCCTTCTGGGAAAAAAAACCCTAAGGCATAGACTTATCTTATCAATGAAGACAGAAGCAACAAATTAAGCTTCTCCTCAGTTTTCCTTTCCTCCTTTATGTCAACCAGCACCTGTTTGCAACTTCTTTATGTGAGGATGCTCTTTCTGTTTACTTGGGTGAGGCCATCTTGCTATCATTTTTGCTCTATTGCTAGCACTTTTTAAAGCAGACTTAAGAAAAGGACTGTGAGAGTACTTTATAATAGATTTTGCAGCAGATTCTATGTCTACAGATGCCTTTATCTGGACTGACAGCTACTGTTGAATTCCGTTTTTGCAGAACTCTTCAGATGATCAATTCAGACTAATTCCATATCCTCTCATGCAATACATTGACTCTGGAGGTGGTATGCGATTCCCATCTCAATCAGAACGTTGTTTGGCTCCCATTTTTTCTGGCCATTTCTACTGTTAGAACATTTTCTTAACACTCTAGATGTTAATAGGATCTTGGCCATGTATATTGCTGTGGCAGCCTTCGTTAATCAAGATGTATACGGAACAAGGGCTATCTGCCAAATATATTTCTTAGCAATAGAAGTTTGCCAAAGTGGATTCTATATACACAGAAAACTGTTTCTGTGTATATACAAATACGTAATTGACAACTTGAACAACCATGATTGCAGATTAGCATCCTGTAGTAGAAGATGAAGATCAGTTAGTTGCTAATATGTATAGATTGTCTGAATACACTTAATTGTAGGGCAACAGACAAATTCTGAAAAAAATCTATTCTGTCTCTCACACACATCTATTGTAGGGAGTAATACTTATAACAAGTACTGAAGTTCACAGTTGTACCATTTATTTTTAATGGAGAAATACAGTCACACATTTATAACAATGGAGAAAAGCAGCTTTATTAATTTGTCAAATTCTTGATAGTTAGACAGTTAGAACAATTAGACAGTATAGTTAGACAGTTAGAACAATTAATCAGTGGAACAACTTGCCTCCAGAAGTTGTGAATGCTCCAACACTGCAAGTTTTTAAGAAGAGATTGGACAGCCATTTGTCTGAAATTGAATAGGGTTTCCTGCCTAGGCAGGGGGTTGGACCAGAAGACCACCAAAGTCCCTTCCGACTCTGTTTGTCAAGCATCCAGAAAGTATCTATGATATCAATCACTCCGAGACGTTATCTCTCCAATTGATTTATTAGGAACAGGTCTGGCATGTCAAAAGCAATTTCCCAAGCGAAAGTTTTTTCACGCGTTACACAGAACCCACCTTCTCTCTTCCCTTCTCTCCTCCCACTTCTACACTTCATAAATCACGAGAACCAATTTACTGCAACTGGAAATTCTTAATACGACACACAGAATAACCTTGAACTTTTCAACTCCTCTAACTCTCTGAAACAAAATGTGGCAGCTGAATTTCAAAGCTGATACTGTTATTCTGTTCTGCCCTTTGCTTGGACAATGCTGAAGTACTATGTGAAGGTGCTTAGAATGAAATAGTGCAACCTAGTCCAAGAAGCTTCTTGGATGAGAAGCGAAACATTTTCTTCTATTTCCTGAAGGAAAAGTTTCCTTTTGAAGGAAAAAAAACCCCCACCTTTGAGACTTCAGTCAGTCAGGATCCAACTATTGGCTATGGGCAAGTCAGCCTGAAATACTGCAGTCTAACTACTATACCATCACTGCGCCTAATTCCTTAGCATTTTGTTTTTAGTATTTGAAAGCCTCGTATTGTGAGAACTCAGTATATTTCTGGGTGTATATCTTTAGTGCCCAAATGGCATGGTCATAGACAATCTGAATTTGATATGCTCATCCCAGGTGGGCAGGCTTTGGGTGTCCCATTCACTTATGAGAAGAAAAGGATGGGCTTCTTAGAGTAGTGTTTTTCCATGGTGGCCCCCACATCATGGAATAGTCTCCCCCCCCCCTCCCCGATTCATATTGCTCCCACATTGAAATCTTTCATAAAGACTTTAAAGGTGGAGTTCTTCCTCTGGATGTTTGACCCCTAATAATTTTATTAATAATTTGGATTACTGCCATGAATTTTTTAGTACATTTTACCTATTGTTTTATTTTTATTTCTGTATTTGGCTATATATATTGCAAACCTCTGAAAGTCAACTTGATGCCAGCAGTAAATCAATAACTTAATAAGTATAAGTTTAGAAAATTGTACAATTTAAGAAAAGTGTAAAATAAAAGAGAATTATGAGAAAAGAATTTTTGCAAAATCTTTCTTTTCTCTCTTTACCAAGATAAGGATAAGAACATCAACTTTACATCATCAGTGATAACACCAGATATTGATCATTTGGTGCTCAGCAACGTTCTTAGAAATCCAGTTGAGGTCTGGGTTTCCAGCGGAGAACCTTTTCTACCTTTGGATAGTAAGTCATCAAACAAAAAAGGATATATTATAAGAGGTTGACATTTCTATCTGTTTTCCTTTAGGATATGGCTGATACCGTGTACTTCAAATTACAAAGTCATGTTCATAATTCAGTGAAGAATGTAAATGTTTAAAAATGTAAAATTTGTACATAATTCATTTCTAGAGTATAAAAAATAGTAAAAGTATACTTTGCAAAATAATAGATTATTATCAAGGGAAAAAATTACAGAATATTTTTATTTATTTATTTTTGTCATCACAATCCAGAACATTCTTCAACTGTTCCCCAGATTTATTCAATAGGAAGATGAGTGTTGATTTTAAGACAAATCCCATACAAAAAAGGAAGTTGGGCAGGAAAGAATTTATGAAATGCAAACATTAGGTTACTGCCCTGCTTCTCTTACCTTGCTCACAAGGGTGACTAAATCTCAGTTGAAGATTTTCCTCAAACATATATCTGTGATATGATTGAATAAGTAGTATTTTATGTAGTATATGTACATATGTGTGTGTGTGTGTACATATATGCATGTACACATGCACAGTCACATGTATTCATACACATACACATATATCACACACAATCAAGAAGCATCAGAAAAAGACGGGGCTTAGACAAAATATAAATTAATAAGTACTCATTCAATTTATTAGCTGTACACACAAAAACCAATCAACTATTGTCTTACATGTATACTGAAATATACAGACTTACACTGAAGAAATCTGGGCTCTGCAAACATAAACCTATAAATTCTGATTGTTTAGGATCTATTTCATGTTACTGTCCCCTAAGTATGGATATGCTGTTATATTGGAGCATGTAAATTGCTTTGGACAGTAGGAAAGATTACTCGCCCTTCTTTTTTTTATACATATATGTATGCGTAAGGGAGAGAGAGAGAAAGCGTTTGTGTTAGAGTATATTTAATAGCAAGTCCTATTGATGTCTGTGGCCCCTACCCCCAGGTAAGTCTGCTTAGGACCTCTGGTTTACTTCAGTCCACATGCACTCCCAAGGGCCTTCTTCTCTTCATTTAGTACCAGAACCTCTATCTATCAACCAAAAATATTGATTTTCTAGCCTCCCCATTTGTAGAGAGCATCCTTGGATAGATGTTTAATACTGTGCATTCTCATTCTCTGCTAACAGAAGGTAATAAAGGAAGCAGGTTTTAACTGCCTTACAGCCACTTTAACAAACTACTGTCTGCCCTTCCCAATTCACAAGTGTGTATGTATGTGTTTGGGGGAGGGGGAGGATGGTGTGGAAAGCAACTATCTTTTTTGCATAAATTATTATTTTAAAAGGTCCTGTTTTTCACATAGAGTTGCAATACTAAATGGTATTGAATTTGTAACTTTCCAAATTTTCTTTATTCTGTACATGTTTGACTAAGGGAAGATTTAAGTACTTGAGCATTTTCACAGAATTTTTTCTTGAGCCATTTAATGCTTTTTAATTACATGTTTTAAGACCTTTAGATGCAAAATCTAAGAGGTCTGTAGGGGGCGTGCATAAGCGCACCAACGTGCCTACCATCCCTGTCCTATTGTTTCTTTTATTTTTTTAATTTTTCTTATATGTATCCATGTATTCATAACTATGTTTTTACTTATGCCTATTATCTTGTAAGCAATTGACAAAAATAAATAAATAAAAATAAAAATCATTTTTGAAAAAAAAAAGGAACTGTACCAAAAAATGTATATATATATATATATATTCATTACAGCTTTGGAAAACATAGAAAGGCAAGAAAAACAGAAGTGGCTAGAAAAAGATAAAATTCTGGCAGACCTTAATGCAATGAAACATAAAATGAGACAACTGCAAGGTCAGTATTATAGTGAAAGTTGATTTCATTGTAATTACATTATTTTTAATAATATAATATTAACATGAGATAACAACTTTTAATATTAGTCCATGTATCAAAACCTTCTTTTTGAGATTTTTCAAGCTGACATACTTTTGTAATAACAATGCCAATGTTCTAAGTTTATGGTATTATATTAACATTATTGAAAACACATCCTTTTTTACACAAGGACTATTCAATATGACTGGTATGCAAGATTTTTTTAAACTAAATTTTTAGCTCCACATCTCAGAGCAAATGTGGATCTCAAAATGGCAATCACAGATCCTACAGAGAATAGTTAGATTTTATTAAGGAATAATACAGTGCGAACATATTAATGTGTATTGGATTATTTCCATTTGTTCCAATGAATTAAAATTCTTCTACATTAAAAAAAAGTGCTCTAAAACCATTCTTATTTTAGGACGCCGTATAACAAAATATAAAGCTGCTGATTTGGTGCCCACTAAGAGCCCTTTCCAGCCTGTGGTAGTAGAAGGAGGCTGGACAGAAGAAACTCAAGAAGAGATGAAACTCATGGAAACTATACAACATACAGAGGTGTGAATATATACTTTATGCTACCCAATTTCCTGAGAAATGAAATCTTTAGATCTAAATGCTTTAGAAAAAGATTTGTGACCTGCTAACTCAATAAATTGTCTGAACTATGACTTCTTTTCATAGTGAGAGAGAAATATGTTTAATTTACATTATGTAGGATTGATCTCTGAAGCAAAACTCGTTTCTTATCTAAACATTTTAGCTACATGTTTCACATTCCCTTAATCCACATATTATTCTTGAGAAAAAGGAATCTGGTAGTCTCCCCCAAGACTGCCGTTTTATCATCTTGGAATTAATTTTAATTTATAAATGGAAGCACTGCATTTCAAACAACTATTTTCATTAAAGTTTTTAATAAATAATCACTATGAAGGAATTGGGAAAAGAGCAGTACAGTATGTTATATTTTTAGAAGCACAGAACTACAAAGATAACTTCATTTTGTTTAATTAGAATCCTTTGGGTCAATAAGTATACTTGAAAGTTGTGGGTGGTCTCACAAAATGATTGCACAAAGGAGGCTGTCTTTGTGGGCATGACCAATTACCAAACATGAGTTGCTCCTTGTCATGTTTTCTTGCTCTCAGGCAGTTCTTGCCAAATAGGGGGGCATAAATCCAATAGATCACAATCATGGACAAGGTTGTGCTAAATACTGCCCTCCCCCTCATTTCAGAAAGAATTTAATGGTTGAAGTCATTGAGAGCTCCTTGATGCTTTCTGAGCTTGTTTGTTTTCTTGCAGACGTTTCATTACCCTAACTAGGTAACATCATCAGTGCCAGTAAGGAGTGCTGATTACTGTCAGTTTATATTCTGGTGTCTTGTCTGTCTGTGTGGGTAGGGGTGGTCATCTAAACATAATATTGCTAATAATCTCTAGTGAACTGTATGAATACACAGTATCAAAATCATATAATGTCTTATCTATGTCTTATAGCAATATAAAACATTTTTTTAAAAAAATCAGAAAGAATGGAAGGTATTACAGTCCAGAACCCTGCATAATCCACAAATGTGGCTGTTACTAGATCACTAGACGCTCACTAGATGTTCTAAAGAATGTATAGGATAACTTTAATGAGCTGTTGTTTACTGGAACCACCAAATGTGCACACCATAATAGCTTCCATATGTTGATGCCTGCGGGAGGGCAAAGGTGATATACATAATACCTACACATGTAATGGTGTCATGATGAAAACCCCACATTTTTTGTATTTGTGTTGCATTGTTGCAGGCACATATTTTGACATTTTGATGAATTCTTGGTTTACTGTAGATGTCATGGCTCCAGATTTCTTTTCCCTGACCCATATTTGCCTTCAGGTCTTCCCTGGAAGATTCAATTCCTCTTTGGCTTCAGTGAATAAAAAGTATTCAGGGCTATTTCTTACCCCAAAATTGACATAATGCCTTAAAACGCTTTTGCTTAAATAGAAGGATCAATAGTGTTTATAATTCTAATGTAACATACTTTTTGTTGCATTACATTCATTCCTTGTGGCTTTGCAAAATGTAAACGACCATACAGAGTCAGCCATTGATTTTAACTCCATGACTTGGATTATGTTTCACTCTAGATGCACCTTTCAGAGCTTCAAGCACTGCAGTTCCAAAGAAGTTCTCCCTTTTCTCCTAAATTACTTGCCAAAAATGACAAGGGTCTCTACAGTCAGCCCACAACCAAAAGAGTGTGGGCTTACCCAAATGGAAATAGACCTGACAAGGGAGCACATGCGTGGGGAAAATCTATGACAGAGGTAAAGAGGATAACTTTTCTTTAAATAAATTAAGTAAATAAATAAATATCCTTTAAATAAAATTTAAAAAAAAAACACCCAAAAACATCTTAACTGCTACTTCATAGTGGCGAATATACATCAGTCGCTTACAAGATAACCTTATCATGCGCACTGCATTGTTTTACTTTTACTTAAAACAAAAGTTGGAGATATATGGCACTCCACTGGATGCGGAACAACAAAATCCTCACCTTGATCACTCTGGTTAAACACGATTGTATACAGGTAGTCCTCAATTTAGACTCATTTGGTTAGTGACCATTCAAAGTACAATGGCACTGAAAAAGATAGCGTATGACTGAATGTCAATGGAGATTCTCAATCATCCACATCATGGTTGTCCCAAAGTTGCTTTTCAAAAGGCAAATGGACTCGCTTGACAAGAAAGTCCAATTGCCTTTTGAAAAGCACCTTTGCATGACTTATAGTCATTTTTCAGACTTACAACTATTGCACCATCCCCATGGTCATGTGGTCAAAATTCGGATGCTTGGCAACTAGCATGCATTGATGATGGTTGCATTGTGTCAGGGTCATGTGATCACCTTTTGCGACCCACTGACAAGCAAAGTCAATGGGGAAGCCAGATTCATTTCCAACCATGTTACTAACTTAACTGCAGCAATTCACTTAACAGCTGTGGCAAGAAAGGTCATAAAATGGGGCAAAAACTCACTTACTGTAACTGTTTTGCTTTGCAGTGGAAATTTTGGGCTCAGTTGGGGTCATAAGAAAAGGAATGCCTACACAACTTGTTGTATAAGTTCTAAAATTATATACTGTACTTGAAATTACTCTGTGTCAATTTAGATAATTATCTGTATTTTTTACACTCCCCACATGAATACAATCTAATGTCTCCTTAAGACAGAAAAAAAATCAAACACTTGATCAGCCTTTGATCATATTGTATGAACAAAAGAGTAGTTTAAAAAGATTTTGGAGTAAAAAATTAATTTTGATTGTGGACAATTCCAGGTTAATTGTTCCTTGCAGTATAAATTTCGTGGCATGAGTTTCTGACACGGTTGCTTTAATGGCTTGCAAACAAGCACTGTTTGCTCTTCTGTATTTTAATCAGAAGCACTGCATGGTCCCAAAATAAATAAACAAACACATATACACACTGATATGCAAATACATAAATGCTTATATTCTCATTTCTTTTTGATATAAACAAAAGCATCACATTGCACCTGTGTCAGAAGCACCAAAGTGCTTCTGGGTTGAAAAGATTAACCGGTGACATCACCATTGCCCAGGGAATACCCACTTGGGAACTCATTTCAGTTCCTGACAGGAAGCAGTGGTGGGATTCAATTTTTTTTTACTACCGGTTCTGTGGGCTTGGCTTGGTGGGTGTGGCAGGGGAAGGATACTGTAAAATCTCCACTCAGAGGTGGTATTTGCTGGTTCTCCGAACTACTCAAAATTTCCACTACCAGTTCTCCAGAACTGGTCAGAACCTGCTGAATACCACCTCTGGAGTTGAGCAAAGAATGGGAGCTCACTCCGCCCCATGGCAGCACTCATGTCTCGAACATGGGCTTGTTAACCTCCAGCCCAGCATCCTAACCATACGAGCCATCATGCTCCTTTAAGCGAAAGCATAATATTATGCAAAGCAAAATATTAAGTATTAAAGAGAAAAATTTAAACAAAGGAGATAAGAGAAAGGAAAACTGTCCCTGACTAGTTAACACCAATACCATTCATTACAGGTTGTCCTCAACTGGCAACAGTTCATTTAGTGACTGTTCAAATTTACAATGACCCTGAACAAAGTGACTTATGACCATTTTTCACATTTACAACTGTTGCAGCATCCCCATGATCACATAATCAAGATTTGGATGCTTGGCTACTGACTCATACTTATGACAGTTGCGTGTCCTGGGGTCATGTAATCACCTTTTGCGACCTTCTGACAAGCAAAATCAAAAGGGAAGCCAGATTCACTTAGCAACCATGTTACTAACTTAACAATTGCAGTGATTTGATTAACAACTGTAACAAGAATAGTCATAAAATTGGGCAAAAATCACTTAACAAATCTTTCACTTAGCAACATAAATGTGGGGCTCAATTTTGGTCATAAGTCAAGGACTACCTGTATGCTTCTCCATCCTTGTTTGTGCAAGCAGTCCTCTTTTTTGCTGTCAGCTTTACTATAATGTCCAAGTATAATCTTGATAGCTTTGTACAAATGTATTTATTTTTAACTTGGTTGTAAGTTACGGCTGAAAAAACACCAATTGTGCAACTAATTCTGTATAAAATGTCCTACAGCAGGGTGTCTCTGCTTTGGCTGATAGTTTGAAAACTGTACATTCTGACTTACTGTCAAAGAGACTTCTGAATAGTAATGCAGTTTTAATATTTCAGCTACTTGACAGTTGTACAACTCATCTAAAAATGTCACAGCCTGCAAAGATACTATATACACCTGATGGATACCAGCTGCAGTCGTGGGATGAAATAGAGAGGGACATGATGGTTTGTGTTTCCACAGGACATGTCTTTATGAGCCAAAAAGGTAACATTTAAATAACATTATTTAAATGTTAAAAGGACCTTTTAAATTTTTTAGCAACCCTCTACATAATTAAAGTGTCTTAATCATGAGGTGGCTTGTAATTTTTAAATGTGGGTTTGCACATCATACTTATGGGTAGGAGTACTGCCCATAATGTGGTCCTTCTCCTTCTGATCTAAGAACCATGTCTGAATCTGGTTTGGCTTCTGGAAATTTAAGTGGCAGGTTTCTGAATAATGCTCAAGTTTTCAGGAAACAAACAAATGGACTTATCATTCTATAAAACAACCTTAAATTAAAATCAACTATACTTTTTCATGTTTTAAGACAGAATTAGATAAATCAGTTTCATTCCTGAAATATAATTCTATTTTTTCAGCTGTACAGCATGAAATAGAAATTAGAGCTCATTATGCAAGAATTCGGAAGCAGCAAGGTCCAGAATCTACCAGCATTGTTGTTTCACCATCAACTAAAGTTATAGACAAGGTTGTATCACAATACATTGTATAACAGTAATAATATTATATGCTATATCATTAGTTCTAAATTATTTTTTTCCTGCAGCTCTTGTGAGGTAAGATTTAATTGAGTTAGATGGCTTCTGTTAGGGCTCAGAATCCATAGCCATCATTATGACAAGGAAACTTTTGGCAAGAGCATTTCAGATTCAAAAGTACCCTAACTTAATTCAGCATGAAATTGATTTAAGCAAGGAATGCTGGCTGGTGGCGCTCCAAAGAAGATCATTTTCTGCCATGGACCTTGTCCTCTGGAACATCCTGCATCCTGAGATTACATTGACCCCCCCATCCTGCTAGCCTTCTGTAAGCCTTTGAGCCTGGGACCCCAGTGTGGGATGGAGCCCATTTCTTGGCTATTCTATGATTCACCATCATAAATAATTTAGCATTTTATATATTTCCATTTGTTTTAATGTTGTGAGCTGCATAGAATCATGTACTTGATATGTGTGGCCGTATCATTTGAATAAATAAATAAATGAATTTCCTTAAATTTATTTTTTTTATAATTCCTTCAGTAATATTTAACAATATGTAACATCCTGATATATGAGGGGGGCTAGTGCCATTTCTGGATCCAGGCTTTTTACAAATTGATTACCCATGGAAGCAAGCTTCGGGTGCTTTAAAAATAAATGGAAGTACAAGAACCAGCACCAGAACACAAAGCCTATTTGTGCTCTACAATTTTATTGGAATTATTTAATCCAGATTTTCCCCCCCGCAGCCAAAGGCGGCCTGTAGTTATGGACAATGCCCCACTAAAATGGTTTGGGTAGCTGTACATTGTGCGTACACATGAACATCAAATATACTTTCCATGTTAATCATATGCCAGTAATATATGCTGACTGTTTCCACATTTCTCACTGTCCATATGCCACTGCAACTGTTTTGTTGAACCAAGAGACCAGTTATATTAAATGCCTATACTGTGTGCATAAATTTGGAAGCAGGGAAAGCTTACTTACACGGAATATCCCATTAATTCTCCTGCTTGCCTCCTGTTGTAGAAAAGCCATAAAAGAAACATTGCTTAGAACAGTTGCTGCAGGCAGCTCTGTGATGACCTGATTAAAGATTCCCATTATGTGTTTTGGGTGAGAGCGAAATCTCAGCAGGAGTGATTCAGCAGTAGGGACTTAATTTCTAGAATACCTTTAAGATACACTTACATATATGTATATGCACGCGCACAGAGAAAGAGAGAGAGAAAGAGAGAGAGATGATAGTATCTATAGGTAAATATAACTTCAGTCACTATAATGCAATCAGAAGATACACTTAAAAGTTAACTCTTCCTAAACTGATGCCAGGAGATAGCAGTTTCATCATTGTATTTAGTTTGGTTTTCATTTTAAAAGAAAATTGATTATGATGATATAAACTCTTTGGACACAAAGAAAAATCTCAGTTATTTGTTGTAACTGTATTTAATTTATAACAAATGTACAGTTAGTAATCTATGAATAGCAGAACAATATTTGCAAATCTTTAATTATTTATATCCCAAACTTTATTATTTTTACAAATAATTCAAGACAGCAAATGTGTCCAGCAATCTTCTTCCCCCTATTTTCCCCACAACAATAGCCTTGGGAAGGTTAAAGTTGACAGAGAGAGATTGACTGGTCCCAAATCACCCAGCTGGCTTTCATGCTAAGGTGTGACTTGAACTCACAATCTCCCACTTTGTAGTCTGCTGTCTTAACCACTAGACCAAAATGGCTCTTACTTTTTAAATTTTATTCATTTCCTTCTTTGCAGTTGACTCAAATCCAGAAGTTAAATAATCTTTTGTTATAACTCTCTACCATATAAAATATATCTGAATTCAGTCTATAGTATTCTTCCTTGAAAGGTATATTAAACTTGCTTTTCTATAAGCTGAATAGTTTATCAATAGTATAATCAAAATAATTTAAATAGATAGATAAGGGGCCAATTCAGTGATTTTGCTGCTCTGTGAGTCATAAGTAAATATATTGTAGGATATCTTAACAGATGTGAATGATGATATATTTTATATTCATTTTAAAAAGTTCTGATAGATATTGGTAAAACAAATCATTAACGCTTTAAAAATGTTGTAAGGGCAAATGAAGCATGAGTTTAATATTAAAGATTTGTAATATTTACATCACTGCTATATATACTCCTAACAAATTTGTTCAATTCAAAAATTATTTTGGAATTCAAAATTGGAGCCTATGAAACTCAATGTACTTCACAGTAGACATACTAGAAGTTGCATTGCTAGTTAAAATTCAGATTAGTGCTGTCAAATACATTGAATATCTATTTTTACTGATACCCACAATTAAGTGGAAAAAAACTTCTGCTTTTGTATTTGTGTATGTGTGCCTTTGAGTGAGTGGTTTCTCTTATCTGAATTTTTCAAAATGGGGTTTTCCTTAAATATTTTTATTATCCATCACCAAAATGTTGAAATAACAACCCAGGAAAGTTTCCTTCTAAAATACAGTATATATATCCGTATCTTCCTCTTTTCTAGTAGTCTCTGTAGAAAGTGATTGGAAAACTTTAAGATCCTTTCTTGCACTATTGTTTTAAAATTCTAGCTGAAAACATGCTTATATTTAATTCCTCTCCCCTTTTGAAATATTCTGTCCTTCTCTAGGAATCCTACCAATTAACCTGTTGTGTAAAAATTACTAATAAAACAGATGAAAAGGGAATGGATCCAGAGGTGGTATTCAGCAGGATCTGATCAGTTCTGGAGAACCGGTAGTGGAAATTTTGAGTTGTTCGGAGAACTGGCAAATACCACCTCTGACTGGAGATTTTGCAATATCCTTCCCCTGCCATGCCCACCAAGCCATGCCCACAGAACCGGTAGTAAAAAAAATTGAATCCCACCACCGAATGGATCCATAATTTAGAGCTGAAATCCACATCTTTACTTTTCAGCTTCTGCAGCATCTCATTGATTAGGGAAGGATGGGCCAGGGAAAACAAATGGTTTTAAAATCAGAAAGAAATTTGACAACAGCAAAGCTTTGTCCATTATTTAAACAGTCCAAGATAGCTTGGACTCCTTATATCTATTTCCCTTATGCCTAAATAACAGGTTGAATTTTGAGGTGTTGGGTTTTTGCTTATGTTTCTTATCACAGAATAAGAAGCACATAGACTGTGCTCAGGATAAACTGTGATATTAGCCAGTATGAAAAACTGAAGTTTCCTATGGCTATTAACTTAATACAGGCAATTTATGATACATTTATTATTGTAGCTGTCAAACTGGGATTTTTAAAATGGTTTAAGAACATCAAGTTTCTTTTTAAAAAAATAATCTAATTTATTGTACTTTGTAAGTAATATTAAGGACTCTTTTAGAGAAAAAGGGCAACATCTTTGAAACAAATAAGGTAACCAAATATAGTTTTTCCCATAAACTTTTTAAATATCTTTCCCACATAAATTTGATTGAGATACATTTTGTTCAAAAAAAAATGTTAGAAAAAAAATAAGAAAAAATTATAGGCAAAAAATTGTTTTGAATATTTTTATTTTGAAGTCTTAACAAAATCATGAATATATGAAGTCATGTAAGAAATACAATAAAATTAATTATTTCTACATATTTTTATACACAGCTCAACACGAATAAGTCTCTTTTGGCTCTTACCGGCAGACCTCATGAAGATGTCAATGACTAGGTAAGTGTTTTCCTGAAGTTAAAAAAAAAAGATAAAGAAATCTAGTGTTTCTAACTCACTTCAGCAACAAAATCATGAACAAAACCACACATAAAGCACTACTACAGGAAAAGAGAATCCACTAAACAAAAGTATCTATTTCCCTTCCCACAGAACATAAAATGGTAGTGGTGACTGACAACAGAATTCCATAATTATGGGGGAACATCTATAATTTTTGTCATTAAATCACAAGTGAATATTTCCAGGAGAGAAACATTCTGTCCTAGAAGAATGTTTTTCCTACTGCATCCTTTATTTTGCAGATAATTGGACTTATTTTATCATGTAGACATTAACTACATATTTCCTTGATACAATATGCAGAATCAAGATACCATTAAGCCAATGGTGGGATTCAAATTTTTTTACTACTGGTTCTGTGGGCATGGCTTGGTGGGTGTGGCAGGGGAAGGAGACTGTAAAATCTCCAGTCAGAGGTGGTATTTGCCAGTTTTCTGAACTACTCAAAATTTCTGCTACCAGTTCTCCAGAACCGGTCAGAACCTGCTGAATACCACCTCTGCATTAAGCCCTCTTCCTCTGTAGCAATTTATGATATTTTCTTGCATCATCCAACAATTTAAAGCCTGTCCTCATTACTGTTTTATTGGCACAATAGTTGAACAAAACTAGATGTTAAAAATTACTAGCAAGGAAATTTCTTTAAATTAATAAACAACTGTAAATCATATAGAAATGGGATGGAACTGTCAGGTACTATGTCAAATATTGTTGTATCAATAAGAAAGCCATATCTCAATCATTGTTGAATGCCAACTATGGCTACATGTTGCCTATCAAGACCATCAATACATATTGCCTATAAAATGCTTTACAATGCTGTAGTAGAATACCTAATGGTGTTCATTAGATCATTTATCCAATCAAACAAAAAATCATTTAACCTAGAAGCTTGTCTACATTAATGGCTTTCAGGTTTTCCAGGAAATGAAGAAACAGAGAAGAAAGACAAATGCTTTCTCTCTGTATTTGCCTTTAATCTGTATTCAAAACCATATGCTTCTGAAGATTGAGTCTCCTTCTACATATCAAGACTAATCACCATTGATAAGTTTTTTTTATGAATGTGCCTAATCCATTTTAAAGCTATGTTTTCTGAGAAATGAATTTCATTCAGTTCAGTGAAGCATGTTCCCATGGAAGTGAATAGCACTGGAACTGAAGTGAATATATGTTTATTACATTCCATCTGTCAGACTCGGATATACCAACCATGATGTGAAATTTCAAATGCTGTAGTGAA